TGATTTCCCGCCGGACGGCGGACTTCTCCGCAACCGAAGGCCCTCAGTTTACTGTCTAGCCTCAGTATAGGTTAGCTTCTTTACGGCCTTTTCTCGTAAAGAAGTTGACCCCGCTCTGTCTGCTGCCAGTGTTTCTTTTTTTTAAGTGTTCGTGTGTATTTTATGTTTCTTTTGTCTAATATTAAGTGTTATTTGTGTTTTATGTTTTCGCCAGATGTTGAGTGTCGTTTTGCTCTGTTTTTACTTTTTTTTCCCGTGTTCGTTTCGTCTACCGCGAAGGGAGCTGTGTGTGACCTTGAGTGTCCGTGCTTGCCGGGAGAGAGAGAGACGAAGGACGCTTTGCGCCTACGCTCGCGCAGCTGTCGGCGGTGTGTGTGCGTGCGTGTGTAAGTGCGTGACGCTTCAGTGCGAGCCCGCGAAGAGTGCGTCGGCTTCCCCCCTCATCGATGCGGACACTGGAGGTGCTGGGGGGGCATTGACCCATTGACATCAGACCGTCTGGCTGTGCTCTGCTCTCGGCCGCCGTCGAAGAAGCCCTGCTGCCGTTCACACCATGGCTCCTGCGCGAGGCCAGCTGAAAGCAGCTATATGCTGCTGGCCAACGCCAGGGCGCCTCGCAGCCAATTCGGGTTCGGCCTCCCTGACCACTGGAGAGGCCCGGCTTCCCGCAACGTCCAGCTCCGTCATCGAGCCAGAAATGCGGGGCGGCCCCGAACAACCGAAGCGGCTTTCGTCGGACTCGCGGCTTATCAAGAGCAGGAACAAGCCATCAGTCAGCCCCCTTTCCGTACCTCTGACCTCGCACTCGGGCATCGCACCCAGCGGACACTGTCACGCCTTTCCGCCCCTCCGCGCAGTGGACGCTATCCCCCTTCAGCACCACGAACACTAGTGCCACGTTTCTGTGCTCCCTTCCGCAGTTATCTTTATAGTGTCATGTGTTTACTTCGTTATTTATGATTTGTTTCTTATTTGTGATCTTTTTTTAGCAGCAGTAACAGGGCTGGACTGAGGTTAGCTGTCGCTCATAGTAGTGTCATTTTAACTGCATGGGTGACGTCCGGCTGCCTTTTGCAGACCGGTAAAGGACAAGTTTAGGAGGGGGGGATGTGGGAATTGAGGCTGGCCCGCTGCCTTTGCGCGGGCTTTCCCGCCTTTTCTGCCATTCTCATGTCCCGACATGTCTGCCCTCCTTTGCTGTCTGCCGCGCTGGGAAGGGCGGAGTGACGTTTAACTCCCTCACCCGGTAGCGGATGTTGACTGTGGCGCCGCGCGGGGAGCCTCCCGAGAGGTTTTCGCGCGCTGCGTCGGGAGCAGTGAGTACAGTCCGGGACTTCAAACGGTGAGCCACGCATTCTTTTCCGTCCGTCGAGTCCCGTCGCTCGGGGCTCGTCGGACTTCGCTGACGGCGCCTCGCGCCCGATGCGAAACGCTCACCTTTTGTTGCCCCGCTGCGTACTCACGGCCGAAGGGCAGTACGGTGTCCTAGTGCGTGGCCTAGCTACGCCGACCCGTCTCCCTTCGAAGCCAACGCGAGCGCCTTTGCCCTCGCTCGAGCAACCGGGCCCCTTTGTCCCGGTGTCTCCGTGGATCACCTTTACCGCGGAGACGTGCTCGTGGCACCCCTGTGTAGTACTTTGTGCCCGTGGCGTGGATAAGCCTACTTGTTTTCCCGCCGCGCCTATTTGCAACGGGCTGTACTGCGTTTGGTGTTGCCACAATAAAGTGTTGCGACTTGAGCAGTATCGTGTTTCCCGCCACGGCGACGGTTAACGCGTGCCCTGCGGCTCGCTAAGACCGGACCCACGCTGGTGGCCGTACTCCTTCGGGATACGTGTACACCACACTGGCGCCCAACTGTGCGTGTGTGGGTGCGTGACGCTTCGATGCGAGCCCGCGAAGAGTGCGTCATGGCTTCCCCCCATCGACGCGGGCACTGGAGGTGCTGGGGGGCATTGACACACTGACGTCAGACCGTCTGGCTGTGCTCTGCTCTCGGCTGTCGCCGAAGAAGCCCTGCTGCCTTTTCCCACCATGGCTCCTGCGCGAGGCCAGCTGAAAGCAGCTATATGCTGCCGGCCAACGCAAGGGCGCCTCGCAGCCAATTTTGGTTCGGCCTCCCTGACCACTGGAGAGGCCCGGCTTCGCGCAACGTCCCAGCTCCATCATCGAGCCAGAAATGCGGGGCCTCCGAAGCACAGCCGGGGCAGCGTTCGTCGGACTCGCTGCTTATCAAGACCAGCAACGAGCCACCAGTGAGCCGCCCTTCCGGTACCTCTGACCTCGCACTCGGGCATCGCACCCAGCGGACACTGTCACGCCTTTCCGCCCCTTCCGCGCAGTGGACGCTATCCCCCTTCAGCACCACGAACACTAGTGCCACGTTTCTGTGCTCCCTTCCGCAGTTATGTTTATAGTGTCATGTGTTTATTTTGTTAGTTATGTTTGTTTTCCCTTTGTAATCATTTTTTTTTTAGCAGCAGTAACAGGGCTGGACTGAGGTTAGCTGTCGCTCATAGCAGTGTCATTTTAACTGCATGGGTGACGTCCGGCTGCCTTTTGCAGACCGGTAAAGGGCAAATTTAGGAGAGGGGGATGTGGGAATTGAGGCTGGCCCGCTGCCTTTGAGCGGGCTTTCCCGCCTTTTCTGCCGTTCTCATGTCCCGACATGTCTGCCCTCCTTGCTGTCTGCCGCGCTGGGAAGGGCGGAGTGACGTTTAACTCCCTCACCCGGAAGCGGATGTGGACTGTGGCGCCGCGTGCGGGGACCCCCGAGAGGTTTTCGCGCGCTGCGTCGGGAGCGGTCAGATACTCTCCGGGACTTCAAACGGTGAGCCACGCATTCTTTTCCGTCCGTCGAGTCCCGTCGCTCGGGGCTCGTCGGACTTCGCTGACGGCGCCTCGCGCCCGATGCGAACGCTCACCCTTTTTGTTGCCCCGCTGCGTACTCACGGCCGAAGGGCAGTACGGTGTCCTAGTGCGTGGCCTCGCTACGCCGACCCGTCTCCCTTCGAAGCCAACGCGAGCGCCTTTGCCCTCGCTCGAGCAACCGGGCCCTTTGTCCCGGTGTCTCCGTGGATTACCTTTACCGCGGAGACGTGCTCGTGGCACCCTGTGTAGTACTTTGTGCCCGTGGCGTGGATAAGCCTACTTGCTTTCCCGCCGCGCCTTTTTGCAACGGGCTGTACTGCGTTTGGTGTTGCCACAATAAAGTGTTGCGACGTTGAGCAGTATCGTGTTCCCGCCACGGCGACGGTTAACGCGTGCCCTGCGGCTCGCTAAGACCGGACCCACGCTGGTGGCCGTACTCCTTCGGGATACGTGTACACCACACTGTGTAAAACATCGTTTCACGTCTCTTCTTTGGTCTTCTTCCAAGTTTGCGCCAACATTGTTTAACACAGAGAATGTCGGATTAGGTGCTAATGGAAACTCTCCAAGACCACGGTCATTCTGTTTTACGCTACGCCGAGAGTTCGCAGGTTTGTAGCTTTCGCGATGTGGGGGTGCTGACACCCCCTATAAAGTTGTTTGCGCCGTGTGGCGCCCTGTTTCGCCCCAAGGCCGCATGTCGGGTGACGACCGTCGGGCGATAGATGGCGTTGTGTTCGCATTGAGTACCACTGTTGGTAGAGTGGTAGCGCCGGCGGTGACCCCTGGCGGAAGGCTGGCCTTGGTAACGGGCGAGAGTTCTGCGCATGATGGTTGCCGCGAACGGCACCGCGGGCCGCCTGCGGTAGGCCCTTGTGGTGAGTGAAGCGTTGGCGACGCCGCCTTTTGTGTGCTCTTGTGTTATGTTGTTTGAGTGTTTGGTAATTTTGTGTAATGATGACTTAGCGTGTTGATAATGACTGATGTACCATTTGGAGGACGATATCGTCCTTCTAAAATTAGTTAAATAAATGTATGCATGTTGTTTGGTTTGTACCGACCGCGTCTTCTGTGTCAGTTCACTCCAAGAGCGTAGCGTGGCACTCGCTCGCCAATTCGAGACGCCACAGCGATTAGTCGATTATTTCTCGCAACAATGCGTTCAATGGAATGCAATGAAAGCGATAGCAAGAAAATTGTAATGTTATACAAAGTAAGGCGGGCAGCCAACTCTGTTGAATCCAATATCGCCGAACTCCTACAGAACGATGGTGTGAGCAAATATGGCCGTTCCAGGTAGAAGTGCTCTTTTCACACAGTTTCCTCTCACTGAAAGCGCACTCATACTTGCAGAGATAGCAAGCGCGCGCCAGCGATCGCCCCCCCCCCCCCCCCTCGTACTTTTTCATGCTCGTTCAAGACTGGTGATTTCCTTTCTGCTTGAGCCTTCAAACGACAGTTGTAACATGCAGAGATGTTATCTTATGCACCTTCTGGACGGCAGAGATGGGCCGACTGATTTGATTTCTGCTTCAGCAGCGCTCGCGCGCTTTTACCCTCTCATGAAAGTTACGATGCTTGGGGGCATGCTATCAATTTAGACATGTTACAGAACATGGCGGCGGCAAAAACCTGCCGAGAGTGTCCATATAATTCCTATCGCAATAATGATGCAGTTTTTAACCACAAATAATAAGTGTTTTGGATTTGCTCTGCCTTCAGTCCCCCTTTTGTTTATAGTGTGTTTATTTTCTGAATTTCTGTACCGAACCTGCGTATAATGAAATCCTCTCTATAACGAAGTTTTCTGAGAATTTATCAATTTCGGTTATATCTAGGTTAACTGTAATAACGAAAAATTAGTTGTGAGACATGAGTGTTTCAGACATGAACCTACTTGAGATGTAGGAGGCAGCAGTGAAACGCAGTGAATGTAACTACATACAATAATGGCGCAAGCTTACTTATTTTTCGTTTTTGAACTTACATTTTCGTGTTCAGCAACAGCGGCACGATGACCAAAAGTTACCATTATTGCAGCTGACACAAGATAACTAAAAAAAAAGTTAAAGGAAGGAGAAAATTTGTGTGCAGCCAAGTGCTGCCATAAAACTTGGTCTTAACCTCACCTGACCACGGTAGTTCACTGCAGAGATGTGGGCGCCAGCAGCAAGCAGCTCATCAGCGATGTCCTCCTTGCCGTTGAGGCATGCCACATGCAGGGGACTATTGCCACAGCTGTTCGGTGCATCCACGTCAGCACCCAGGGTCAGCAGCTGACGCAGAGCACTGAGACGGCCATTGGCTGCCGCACAGTGTAGAGGGGTGTAGTACTGCCAGTAAGAAAGAACGTGGGCGCCATTCACATTCATACCCAATTATGAAAAAGTTGCATCTTACGCGAAAATAAGCTTGTTATATTAGAAAATTCGTTGTAAAGGTATATTCTTAGCCCTACATCTATTGCAAGACTATTTATAATTTACTTCGTTATAACTGATATTTTGTTATATCCAGGTTCGTTATATTGAGGTATGAGTGTATATCCGGTGCTCGGCGAAGTTCCCCAAATTAAAGCGAACATTGCTAAGCTCTAAAATATTGCAAGCTAGCTACCTTCTTTGCCAGTTTATTTTAGAGGTCTTTTATACGCATACTTTAGGACGAAAGCTATTGTATTTACTCGCGTAACGAACCCACTTTTCTTCTTTCAGAAAAGTTTATGCCAATTTAGGGGGAGGGTTCATTACACAGGAGAAAAAAGTCACGGGAGTTATAACACAAAAATTTTGGATGAAGACATTGCTTGTTTTGACCGGTGAAATGCACAACAAATTTCTTTTTGTAACACAAAGCTCTTTTTGTTTCATCCCGTAATGAAAGTGCATGGATCGATGCCGAAGAGTCGTCCAGCCGCTCGGTTCCAATGCTTCAGCACATGCTGTTAGTAACCAGCCGTGCAGCTAGCATACTGACAGAACGCGTGCTGCGCAGCAGGTGTCCCGACTAAGTTCACAAGGACAAACCCAACAACGAAAATGCAGCGTCGGATGGTGGCGCACAAACGTTGCATTAGACGCTGCAGGTGCACAATGCGCCATCGGCGCAATGGGTGCAGTTCCGCTTTGCATAGGTTTGAGATGGCGAGCGCACAGCGTGTTCCATGATGCCATGCGAGCGCCATTTTGGACGCCACGCATTTTGTTTTTGTGCTGCTGTGTTTGAGTGGCGCCATCAGCAAAGAGGTTTCTCTTGCATTCGACAGATGGCGCTTTGCCGTACAAGGAGCGACTTTCAAATTTTAATTGACGTCGTCCACACTCACAATTGTTTAGCATGATTGCATACTATCTTTTGCTTTTATTGTGTTGTTATTTTGTCATATAATGGCTTGATTTGATGTTTTGATAATTAATGACACTAGCTATCACAACAAAATAAAATAAACAGATAATTAAAAAAATTCCCCCCCTTTTCAAGAATCAAGGTGGGGGGTGGGTTCATTAAGGGGGTGGGTTCATTTCGCGAGTAAATACGGTACTTCAACTTATCCCTGCTCTTTGTCTTACCACTTCGACAGACCCTACAAACATCCTAATGTCAACTAATTTTCTAGTAACACCAACTGCATTTCTCTTGGTGTAGGACTCTACTTACTCACTTCCTTCAAAAGCCCTGACATATCTGACATACATATTGTTACGGGAAAGATTTATTCACCGAGAGCTGGTCTTGCTAACGGCTTAGAGAGCGCACAGTCAAGCAGGCCAACGGGAGAAGCTTCAGAGTCCAACCCACTACAACCTCGTTGTCGTCTTCGTCATTTGGGTGCCAATTCAGCTGTGTCGGTGCGACAGTTCCATACACGTATCATCACCCCGGCCCGTAAGGCACCGTCTCGGTGCATGTTAAATGAGCGAGTCGGCGTTGTAGGGCTTGAGACGAGAAACGTGGACCACTTCCGTTCTGGGAGCAGCAGCTGATGAGTTTGTGGTAGCGACAATCTCGTAGGTCACAGGTGTGACCTGACGAATGACTCGGTAGGGCCCAGCGTATCGCGATAGGAGTTTCTCGCAGAGGCCAACACGTCGAGATGGGAGCCACAGGAGAACAAGAGATCCCGCAGAAAAAACGGCATCTCTATGTCGACGGTCATAAAGAGACTTCTGTGCTGTCTGCGACGATGATAACCGAGCACGCGCTACCGCACGTGCCGTGAGGGCGCGGGTTATTGCATCCTGAGCGTACGAGGTGGAGGATGGGTGGTCTGATGAAAGCAGTGTGTCGAAGGGCAGTAAGGGATGACGTCCGTAGAGTAGATAAAAAGGGGAGTAGCCCGCTGTTTCATGACGCGACGAGTTATAGGCGAAGGTTACGAACGGAAGAGCTATGTCCCAATCAGTGTGGTCGGTAGATACATACATGGAAAGCATGTCCGTCAATGTGCGGTTTAGTCGCTCCGTAAGGCCGTTAGTCTGAGGGTGGTAAGATGTGGTGAAGTTGTGACGGGTAGCACAAGATCGGAGTAGATCATCAACCACACGAGATAGAAAGTAGCGACCACGGTCTGTGAGCAGGTGAGTCGGAGCGCCGTGCTGGAGAATAATGTCGTACAGCAGGAAGTCGGCAACGTCGGTTGCGCAGCTGGTTGGTAGCGCTCGAGTGATTGCATACCGAGTGGCATAGTCTGTGGCCACTGCAATCCATTTATTTCCAGTTGTAGAAGTAGGAAAAGGGCCTAGCAAGTCCAATCCCACTCGATAAAATGGCTCGGCTGGAACTTCAATAGGTTGAAGTAGACCGGCAGGGGGAGTCGTAGGCTTCTTTCGGCGCTGGCAGAGGTCACAAGATGTGACGTAACGGCGAACAGACCGGTACAGACCCTTCCAGAATACTCGTCGTCGAATGCGGTCGTAAGTTCTGGAGACTCCTAGATGTCCAGAAGTTGGAGCGTCGTGGAATTGTCGCAGAACATCCTTTCGCAGGTGATGCGGTACGACGAGTAAAAGTTCGGCGCCGTCGGGGTGTAAGTTGCGGCGGTACAAAACGTTGTCTTGAAGCAGGTATCTGCTAAGAGAAGGGTCAGCATAACGCGATTGAAGGCGGTCAATGATGGTGAGCAGCGATGGATCTTGGCGCTGTTCGTCAGCCACGTTCAGAAAGTCAGTGATGGCTAAAACGCAGGCATCGGATTCCAAATCAGTGGAGCTAGGTGGATCGACAAGGTGCCGGGATAAGCAGTCAGCATCGCTGTGCAGCTTTCCAGATTTGTAAACAACCGAGAACGTGTACTCCTGTAATCGAAGTGCCCATCGGCCGAGTCTTCCTGTAGGGTCCTTAAGCGTCGATAGCCAGCAAAGCGCATGATGGTCCGTGATGACTGCGAACGGACGTTCGTATAAGTACGGATGGAATTTCGCAATAGCCCAAACGAGGGCTAAGCATTCCCGCTCAGTGATGGAATAATTTTGTTCCGCTTGCGACAAAAGACGGCTAGCGTAGGCTATCACACGGTTGGTGCCATTCTGTATCTAAGCGAGTATAGCACCAATGCCATGGCCGCTTGCATCGGTGCGAAGCTCTGTTCGAGCCGCTGGATCAAAATGAGCCAACACAGGTGGTGATGTGAGGGCGGTAATTAGCGACGCGAAGGAATGTTCTTGGTCGCTTCCCCAAGAAAATGCCACATTCTTTTTGAGGAGATCCGTGAGGGGCCTAGCAATATCCGCGAAATTGAAGACAAAGCGGCGGAAGTATGAGCAGAGCCCAATAAAACTGCGAACTTCTTGTGTGGAACGCGGTACCGGGAATTCTCGGACTGCACGGACTTTGTCAGGGTCAGGTTGAACACCAGTGGCGTCAACAAGGTGGCCGAGTAGTTTAATCTGCCGACGTCCAAATGAGCATTTCGACGAATTGAGTTGGAGACCAGCGCAACGAAAAACGTCAAGAATTGCCGAGAGGCGAGACAGGTGGCTTTCGAAGGAGGGCGAGAAAACTATTACATCATCCAGATAGCAGAGGCAGGTCGACCATTTGAAACCGCGAAGAAGAGAGTCCATCATACGTTCAAAGTAGCCGGGGCATTGCACAAACCAAAAGGCATGACCTTGAATTGGTAAAGGCCGTCGGGTGTGATGAATGCCGTCTTCTCGCGGTCACGGTCGTCGACCGAAATTTGCCAGTATCCGGATCGAAGGTCAAGGCACGAGAAATAGTTGGCGCCGTAGAGGCAGTCGAGCGCATCATCGATTCGAGGTAAAGGATAAACGTCCTTCTTGGTGATCCGATTCAGGTGGCGATAGTCGACGCAAAAACGCCAAGTGTTGTCCTTCTTTTTAACTAAGACCACAGGGGAGGCCCAAGGACTCGATGACGGCTCAATGACGTCTTACTGAGCATTTTCTCGACCTCCGTCTGCATTACTTGGCGCTCAGCACGTGACACGCGATAAGGGCGTTTGTGAAGTGGACTGGCGTCGCCGGTGTCGATGCGGTGGGTTACGGCCACTTGTGCGGCCCAGGGGACGGTCGTCAACGTCAAAGATATCCAGGTAAGAAAATAGAACACCCCGGAGCGCCGCAACTTGGGAAGGTAAGAGGTCACTGGATATCATTTTGTCGAGGAACGCCTTATTTTGCGACGTGATGACAGGTTTCGTCATGGTCTTAGTGTCAGGTGTGAAAGAACAAATCGAACATTCATCAAGGGTGGAAAGATCGGCTAAAGTGATGCCTTGGGGAAGCACTTGGGTCGACGTAGAGAAGTTCAGAACTGGAAGTAGCACCGTGTTGTTAGAAACAACCACTATAGTATGTGGTAGTGCGATGTGGTGCGTAAGAGTCAAATCAATGAGGGGAGCTACCAGATAGTCTCCATCAGGAACGGACGGGAAGGGCGACAGAGGAATGTACATAGCAGCCTGGGGCGGTAGCCGTAGAGACCTCCACGGATCGTAGCCGAGTGCGACTTGGAGGAGTGAAATCGGAGCACAAAGGTAATTCGAGCCGTAAGATACCGGTAGAACAATCGATGAGGGCGGAGTGGGCGGTTAAGAAGTCAATTCCAAGGATGACGTCGTGTGGGCAAGCATCGAGGACTGCGAAGAGAACGGAAGTGTGGTGGCCAGCAACAGTAACGCGGGCAGTGCGCATACCAAGCACCGATGTTCGACTTCCGTTGGCAACTCGAACAGTAGAGAACATAGCTGGTGTGAGAACCTTTTTCAGGCGAGATCGAAGTGTAGAACGTCATACAGATACTTGGGCACCAGTGTCAATTAGAGCAGTAACGGCGTGGCCATCAACGAACACCCGAAGTAAATTGCGTCTTG